CCAAACATGATGGCCACTCAATACCTCTACTGCAAACCACAACACCAAAAAGGAGAGAACAAATGGGAATGCCCTGCCACAGAGGCAGGGTGGGGTGGAGGGGACGGGGCAGGGGTGGTGGGAGGGATTCTGGGACCATTGGTGGTGGATAATGGGCACTGGTGGAGGGATGGGTACTCGATCATTTTATGACTGAAACGCAAGCACAAAAGTTTGTAAGTCTGTAACTGTACTCTATGGTGATTCACTAATAAAAAATTTAAAAAATACATAATGTCATAATGTGGTGGACAAAATGTCTATGTACCGATACTGATTTTATATGATGTTACAAGTAAATGTTACTTCAATACAGCAAAAAAGAAATGTGCTGTGGATATGTGAAATAATGTGAATAACTATCAATCTTTCGCGTTAGTGAAAAAAACCCTATGCACAAAAGAACACATACAAAAATAAAAGAACACATACTATATAATTTATACAGAATTTTAGAAGATACCATTAGAGTCACCTCAGTGGTCGTCAGGAGCCACTAGCACCACACATGGCAATGCTGGGGGTGGGGACCATAAGATACTGTGAATCAAATCAGGGTCTCATCTCATGCACCCCAACTCCAGTACTCTGGCTCAACAGGTACTACTAGTTGCTATCAGTTTAAGAGCCTGATAAGAAGTCTAGGAGGAAGTTCCATCACATAAGTATTCCATATTCTGTAGCTGCTTTAGTTTCCCTCTCTCTTGCTGACAATGCTGATTCTTATCTTCCTACAGAGTAGCTATAAAGTTGACACCACTAATGCAAGCTCCTAAAGGTGACTGCACTGCTGCCTCCATCGTGTCTCCCTTTGAGTGACTTTCTTTTACCTCAGTAAAAAAACATACCTTTGTCATCACTCTTTTTTTTTAATTTTTATTAGTGAAACACCATGAGGTACAGTTGTAGACTTACAAATTTTTGTGCCTGGGTTTCAATTATACAATGATCAAATATCCATCCCTCCACCAGTGCCCATTTTCCATCACCACGGGTCCCAGTATCCCTCCCACTCCCCTTACCCCCATCCCACCCTGCCTCTGTGGCAGGGCATTCCCTTTTGCTCTCTCCCTATCCTTTTGGGTGTTGTGGTTTGCAAAAGAGGCATTGAGTGGCAATCATGTTTGGTCTAAAGTCTACTTTCAGCATGCTTCTCCCATCCTGGGAGGATCCTCCCAACACCCTTTATTCGGTGCTCCCTTCTCTATCTGAGCTCCCTTTTCCCCTAACCTGTGTGGCTGACCTCCAAGCCACGGAGCAAATCTCCAGGTACTAATCTCGGCCATTCTTGGGTGTTAGTCTCCTATTTTGTTACTTTATGTTCCCCCAGATGAATGCAATCTTTCTATGTCTATCCCTCTCTTTCTGACTCATTTTGCTTAGCATGGTACTTTCATGTAGTACCATTTGTATGTAAATTTCATGACTTCATCTTTTCTAACAGCTACATAGTACTCCATTGTGTAGATGTACCAAAGTTTCTTTAACCAGTCATCTGTTCTCAGGAACTCAGGTTTTTTCCAGATTCTAGCTATTGTAAAGAGTACTGCAATGAACAAACAAGTGCAGATGTCACTTCGACTATACTTTTTTGCCTCTCTGGGATATATTCCCAGGAGTGGTATTGCTGGGTCAAATGGGAGCTCGATTTCTAATTTTTTGCGAATTGTCCATACTGTTTTTCAGAAGGGCTGAACCAGTCGGCATACCCACCAGCAGTGAAGGAGTGTCCCTTTCTCGCCACATCCGCACCAGCACCGGTTGCTTTTGTTCTTGTGGATGTGGGCCAGTCTCTGTGGTGTGAAATGATATCTCATTGTGGTTTTGATCTGCATCTCCCTGATGATTAATGATGTGGAGCACTTTCTCATGTGCCTTTTAGCTGTTCAGATTTCTTCTTTGAGAAAGTTTTTGTTCATTTCGTCGCCCCATTTTTTTAATGGGGTTGGATGTTTTCTCCTTGTGGAGTTCAACCAGCACCTTGTCTATCCTTGATCAACCCCTTGCCAGATGTGTATTCGGTGAATATCCTTTCCCATTCTGTAGTCTGTCTTTGTATTTTGGTCACTGTTTTCTTTTGAGGTGCAGAAGCTTCTTAGTTTAAGATAGTCCCATTTGTCTATCTCTGTACACACTTGCTTGGCCAGTGGCATGACATCTTTGAAGATACCATTAGCTTCAATATCATGGAGGGTTTTGCCAACTTTGTCTTCAATGTACCTTATGGATTCCGGTCTGATGTTGAGATCTTTAATCCATTTTGTTCTTACTTTTGTAAATGATGTTAGGCAGAGATCTGAGCCCACTTTTTTGCATGTAGCCATCCAGTTTTGCCTGCACAATTTGTTAAAGAGGCTTTCTGTGTTCCACTTCACCTTTCTTGCTCCCTTATCGAAGATTAGATGATCATATGCTTTGGGGGAAATGTCAGTATATTCAACCCTGTTTCATTGGTCTGCAGCTCTACCTTTGTTCCAGTACCATGATGTTTTAATTATTACTGCTTTGTAGTAGAGTTTGAAGTTAGGGAGGTTGATTCCTCCCATTTTCTTTTTCCCAAGAATTGCTTTAGCTATTTGTGGGGGCTTATTGTTCCATATAAATTTCAGGAGTGTTTGCTCCATTTCTTTGAAGAATGTCATGGGTATCCTTATAGGTATCGCACTGAATTTGTACTGTGCTTTGGGAAGTATTGCCATTTTGACAATGTTAATTCTCCCCACAGCGGGTAGGGCGTTCGCCTTACAAGCGGCCAACATGGCCGACCCGAGTTCGATTCCTCCGCCCCTCTCGGAGAGCCCGGCAAGCTACCGAGAGTATTCGATATGCCAGACACAGTAACAACAAAGTCTCCAGTGGAGACGTTACTGGGCCCGCTCGAGCAAATCGACGATCAACGGGAGGGCCTTTACCTTTTACCTAATTCTCCCCATCCATGAGCAGGGGATATTTTTCCATTCCCTCATGCCCTCTTTCATTTCCTGAAGTAGCGTTTTGTAGTTTTCTTTGTACAGGTCCTTTACTTCCCTAGTTAAGCTGATTCCTAGGTACTTGATTTTCTGGGGGATAATTGTGAACGGCATTGTTTTCTTCATGCCACTTTCTTCTCTTTCACTATTTTCATATAGGAAAGCTATGGACTTTTGGGTATTGATTTTATAGCTTGCCACTTTCCTATACAAGTCTATTGTTTCTAGGAGTTTCTTGGTAGAGGTTTTAAGTTCTCTAAGTATAGTATCATATCATCTGCGAATAGTGAGAGCTTGGTTTCTTCTTTTCCTACCTGTCACTGTCACTGTCCTCCCGTTGTTCATCGATTTGCTCGAGCGGGCCCAGTAACGTCTCCATTAGAGACTTTGTTGTTACTGTGTTTTGGCATATTAAATACATCACGGGTAGCTTGCCAAGCTCTGCCGTGCAGGCGAGATACTCTTGGTAGCTTGCCGGCTCTCCGAGAGGGGTTGAGGAATCGAACTCAGGTCGGCCATGTTGGCTGTGTGCAAGGCAAACGCCCTACCACTGTGCTATCGCTCCAGCCCATATTTTCCTACCTGGATGCCCTTAATATCTTCTTCTTGCCTAGTCGCTATTGCAAGTACTTCCAGTACTATATTGAACAGTAGTGGAGAGAGTGGACATCCTTGTCTCGTCCCTGATCTTAGGGGTCAGACTCTCAGTTTTTACCCATTGAGGATGATTCTTGCTCTAGACTTGTGGTAGATGGCTTTAACTATATTGAAGAAAGTCCCCTCTATCCTCATTTTGCCTTTGCCATCACTCTTTCAGGTGATTTTCCCACAGCTACATTTATTGGCAAGTCCTCGTTCCCACTTTAAATATCTTTAGTTTTCTTGCATCCCAAATTGGGGAGGTATCCGGAAGCCACTGTAAGCACAGATACTTATTACAGCTGGATTTTTCAGTCCCCCTAAGTCCTGGTATATATTCTGTACTGCATTTTGTACTTATTAATATGAAAACAACTCTTAACTCTCTATTCCATAATGTGTACTTAACATGTGAGAAAAAAATTTTCTCAGTAAAATAATTTGCTAGTTGACTTTATAAGCTGAAGATTTTATATATAAGTATATATATGTATATACATATATCAGATTGCATTTTGCTACTTGTTACCCTTTCTAACACCCAATGGGAGAGCATAAAAATTTAAATACATGTAGTATCTCTATGCTTAAGCTATTTTTAAGGTTCACAAAGCATTACTGTACGATTTAATAAAACTCATAAACTTTATTGTAAAATCAGTGGTGTCAATAAATTATCTTTTTTATGTATACCAGTCATCAGTGAACTTACTTACAATAGACTTTTCAAACAGTAGATGTTGGATAATTAACTAGTAAGACTGGGCTGCCACAGGTAGAGAGAAAGGTTGAGTCTGTGCTATAGAAAATTGTACATACTATGTTGCATATATCATGAAGAAATTGTACAGATGCAGATAAACTACATCTCTTGGCCATTACTGATTTGGTATTGGGAAATGCCATATACACGAGAACATCAGTGATGCTACTATTATACATTAAGGAAGACAAAATGCTCATAGCAAACTTCTAATGCAGAGACAGTCAAATAAAAAGCTTTGATCACATTAAGATCAAGTGGTTGTGTTTACAATCTTGTGATCAAGGTTGACTGTTTCTCCTTTCTTTATTCCATTGGCCAAGTTGCTGAATTGCCTTTACATGTGTTTCACATGTAAAAATAATACAGCTGTGCTGCCCACTCTGTTCCTAGAGAACACAAAAATTTAGGCACAAAGCAGATTGACAGACATTTCACAGTTTCATGTCATCTACGATGCAGCCTCCTGGAAGACAGATTCCTGAGGCAGAGATGATGCATAGTTGGAGAGAACAGAGAAAAATGGCATAGTGATTTCCCAGGTCTCTATGGGGATTCTGTGATTCAAGGATGGTTATATGGTTATTCATTTATAGAAGATTCTCATAATCGCCTGCAGCACTTCCCTGGGTCATGTTTCCACCGCTCCTCTGCCCATGAGAGTCATCTGTGTGTATTTTGTGTACTTTCTTGATCTCTGAATAGATGAACACAGGTTCCTTGGGAGAAAAAACACAAACAGTAAGTAGCTAAATATAAGTGAGGAGACTCAGAGAGTAAAGAAACCAGAAAATGTGACTCACCGTATTATCTTTTTGATGCATCCTTGATGAACTTTCTGTTGGTAAAGGGGGAGAAAAAGTATTAGTGTGGAAATATATTTCACCTTACAACCTTACAACTTAAATAAGAGTTTCCAAGCCAATCTTTTCTCTGCCTACTCATCTAATTACTGCATTCTTTGCTGAATGCTTCCAGATTCTCACACAGTATCCTATACCCAAAACAAATAAAGTTCTGTCCCTACTTCTAAATTCCCATAATGAATTTCTTTATCATTAATCAAACCAAGAAACCCCTTTTTTTGAGAGCAAAAGGGAATACCCTGCTACTGAATCAGGGCAGGGGGAGGGGATGAATTGGGGATGGGAGGGTTTCTGGGATCATTGGTGGTGGAGAATGGGCACTGGTGGAGGGATGGGTATTCGATCATTGTATAACTGAAACCCAAGCACAAACATTTGTGTTTGTGTCTACAACTGTATCTCATGGTGTTTCACTAATAAAAAATTTTTTAAAAATGATGCAGTAATCAGCAAAAAAAAACCTTTTTATAACTCCTTTTGCTCTCCCTCTACCATTTCCCTTCTTTTCCCTCCTTCTCAGTGACTCTGTCTCTCTCTTTTCCTCCACCTCTCTCTCTCTCTCTTCTCACAGGCACTATATTAATCATCTTGGGGGAAGGTTTACTTCATTTTTCATATGAATAGTGTAAAAAGTTAGATCAGGATATGGCATTCTACTGCTACACAATTTTTTAGGAAGCCAAAGATGTATGGCTGAGAAAATTTAATGTGTTTATTTCTTTTATACTTTCAAAGGATTCTTTGGAATATTTCAGTATGATCAGGATAAAAATCAAAAATTCAGTATTTTGACAATAAAAACATCAGGCAGAGCTTGGGAGGGGGCATCAAATGCAGGACCTGGCAAGAGCCACATTTTGTAATGAAGAGTTATTAATAGTAGTTAATCTAAGCAATTATGTGAGGAATTATGCATTGTAGAGATATCATACTTTAAAATGATTGGTGAATAGTTGGAGAAAGATTTGAGACAAAAAGATCAGTTAAGAGAATTGTAATAAAGATGTGAGGTGGGAGGTTTTTTTGTTTTTTGCTTTTTGGGTCACACTCAGCGATGCTCAGGGGTTACTCCTTGCTCTGCACTCAGGAATTACTCCTGACAGTGCTTGGGGGATCATATGGGATGCCGGGTATTGAAGATTGAACCTGGGTGAAGCACATGTAAGGCAAATGCCTTACCCGCTGTACTATTGCTCTGGCCCCAAGGTTGGAGCCTTTCAAGGCAGTGTGGGCCCCAAGCTGGCAGTGACTTTGAACTGCTGATGCAATCTGCAAGGCTCTAATATTCAGACATTTCAGGTTAGAAGGTGTGTGTATGGGGCAGGGGGGTGTTTTCTGGAGCAACTGCCAGTTAATCTCCCCCATCAGACCTCATAAAAACCACAAATTAGCCTCTAATTCAGAACTCACTAGGGAAGCCTGACCACCCGAACCATATTGATTTGCCAATAGGCCAATAATCCATTAGTCCCTACTCAATCAACATTCTTCCCTAAATCACAAAAGCAACTGTGAGCACAAGAATCCAAACTGCAAAGGTCATGATGGTAAAGCAACACAGAAACCTGCTGGCTTAGTGAATGAAGATACTAGCCCAGATGACCCAACCAGCAATAATGAGCTATATAACCCTCTGAGAGAAATTTATAATGGAGCTGTTAAGGATGCATGGGCTGGAGTGATAGCAAAGTGGGTAGTGCATTTGCCTTGCACGCAGCCAACATGGCCGACCCGAGTTCAATTCCTCTGCCCTCTCAAAGAGCCCGGCAAGCTACTGAGAGTATCTCGCCCGCACGGCAAAGCCTGGCAAGCTACCTGTGACGTATTTGATATGCCAAACACAGTAACAACAATGGAGATGTTACTGGGCCCGCTCGACCAATTCGATGAGCAACGGGAGGACAGTGACAGTGAAGGATGCATAAGGAGCTCAAAGAAATGATGGAACACAAAGCAAATAAAATATAGGAGCATATGAGAGCAGAAATGAGGAAAATACAAATGAAAATACAAACAGAAATGTCAGCTCTCAAAAACCTGGTAGTTGAAAAGAAAAACTCACTGGAAGGTCTCAGTAGTAAAGTAACAGCTGCCAAGGAGAGAATCAGTGAGCTCCAAGATGAAGTACAGAGAATCTCAAGACAACAGCAGAAGATGAGAAAAGAGCCTCAAAATAAACCGACACATTACAAGAGAACATTTGAATGAATTTAAGGAGAACAACATAAGAATCATTGGGGTACCAGAGGGGCAGGAAGAAAATATGACCCTTAAATATGAGTGATAGCACAGCAAGTAGGGTGTTTGCCTCATACACTACTAGCCTGGGTTAAATTGCTTCGCCCCTCTCGGAGAGCCTGGCAAGCTACCGAGAGTATCCCTCCTGCATGATAGAGCCTGCCAAGCTACCATGATGTATTCGTATGCCATATGGTTTTGACAGTTGCTTCTTCATTAGAAACCATTCTTCATTCAGCAAACCATCATTGCTGAAAAGTTTCCAGAGCTGAAGAGTGCATGCGCCAAAATCCATGAGACCTGAAAGGTACCAGCTAAAAAAATCCAAATAAAAATACTCCAAGACACATCCTAATCAGAATGACAAAAAGCATAGAGACAGAATACTGAAAATAGCAAGATCAAAGAAGGAAATTAGTTGCAAAGGAGCATCCTTAGAATTTAAACAGACTTACCAGACAAAATCCTCTGGGCCCAAAGACAGTGGTGGGATATAGTGAAAAAACTCAATGAAATGAATGCCTCACCAAAAATATTTTACCCGGCTAGCCTCATGTTCATATTTGAAGGAACAATACACAGCTTCACAGATAAACAACAACTCAGGAACTTCATGGACCTTCAGGAATCTTTGGTACAAGAAGGACTAAATGGGTTACTTTAAGACAAGACAAGCCCCTCCAACACACCAAACTCTTGCAGAAGAATGGGACTAAATATTTCTCAATGTCAATGGACTAAATGTATCAATTAATTAGAAACAGAGTGGTAGGGGTAGGATGGGTTAGAAAATTGAATTCAACACTGTATTGCCTGCAAGAAACACACATGAATCTACTAGTATCTGCCACATAGACTTCAAGCTGAAGAAGGTTATAAGACAGTGAAATCAATACCCCCAAATCCATGGCTTTTATACAAATAATGAAAGAGAAAAGAGAGATATTAGAAAAACAATTCCATTCACAATCGTGCCTCAGAAAATCAAGTACTTTAGAATCAGTTTAACTAAAGAGGTGAAGGACATATACAAAAAAAATTACAAAACAGTACTTCAAGGTATAAAAGAGGACAAGAGAAAATGGAAACACATCTCTTGCTCATGGATTAGAAGGATTAATATTGCCAAAAATGGTAATACTCCCCAAAGCATTGTGCAGATTCAATGCAGTTTCTATAAGGATACCCATGACATTTTTCCAACAAATAAATAAAACATTCCTGAAATTTATATGGAACAATATGAATAGATAAAGCAATAGCTTAAATAGCTATTTAATAATGGCTAAAGTAATCCTTGGGAAAAAGAATATGGGAGACATCACTTTCCCCAACTTCAAACTCTACTACAAAGCAATAGTAATTAAAACAGCATGGTATTGGAATAAAGAAAGACCCACAGACCAATGTAATAGAGTTGACTATCCTGACACCAACCCTCACATATGAGTGACAGCACAGCAGGTAGGACATTTGCCTTGCACACGACCGACCTGGGTTTGATTCCTATACCCCTCTCGGAGAACCTGGAAAGCTACCGAGAGTATTCCTCCCGCACGAAAGAGCCTGCCAAGCTACTGTGGCATATTCGATATGCCAAAAACAGAAACAACAAGTCTCACAATGGAGACTTTACTGGTGCCTGCTCAAGCAAATCGATGAACAATGGGAAGGACAGTGCTACAGTGCTAATATTTGATAAATGAGCAAGAAATGTGAAATGGGAGTGGGTCAGGATGGCAGTGGAGCAGCAGCAAACACTGGTGGAACAGCAGCTCTCAGTGGTCTGAACAGCCAATGGGACCAAAAAAATTCTGCATGAGTGAAACATGGGTGTCCCTTGAGTATTCTGGCTCAGTGAGAGTGCCATTAAATGAAACCGGCACTGTCCTGGAGTGGGACATGTGAGGATGGTGGCAGCATAACCAATGGCTGGTGGAGGTCTGGAAGCTCTTAGTGTTATGGGTAGTAGAAAAGTTTTAACGGATCTGAATAGAGCTCTTCAGTTCAGACTTGGCACCACTGCAGAACATGGGGTTGAGGTCCCTGAGTAGAGGATTCCCACAGTGGGCCACAATGGGCCCTGGCAATTCACCACCCATGGGACAGCCCTACTGCCATTTCCTTCCTCGACCAGCCTGTACCTCCTGCAGCACATTATGGAGGAAAACCTCCCTGAGCACCAACTCTCTGGAGATGAAGATGGAGGGTATGTGCTCCTCCCTGGTTAGGTTCTGCTGGACTAGTAGCTGCAGTCCACCCAAAGTGCCCAACCTGCATACTGTAGTAACCTGGCCCTGGTCCTTGCAGGGTCCACTGCTACATTTACTACTGAGACCCAGGGGGCACAGTGCTGTTGGAAGGTCAACCTGAACCTGTGGGGCGATAGCATCAGCAGCTTGATGGTACTCTTGGGCTCCTGACATCCCAAAATCGCTGTTGTGCTCTTACCAGACTCCAACAACTCAGGAACAAGTTTCCTGAGATATTAAATTGCCAAAAGTTATGTATGTGAAAGTCACACCCACAAACCACCTCTGGCTCAGGCATACAAGCTCATTTATCGGCCTTGCTTCAGAGTGCCATAAATAAATCTCGAAAGAGATCAGAAACTGCAATTAATCTTGTACATTTGGGTTACAATGGATGGTGGTGGGTTTGCCAGTGCCTGCCCAAACAGAGCCCTTAGCAGCTGCAAGCTCTCCTACAATTCAAAATCTCCACCATGCCTCTGGCCACATTTCACTTTTTAAGGTGGACCTCATTGAGATATTAATGTGCTGAAAATTTGGGTATGCATGTTTTTTTATTGAAGTCTCCAGGCTTTCTTGGAGTCAGCATGGGCTACCTTCCCCCACTTTCTGATACTTGAAAGTGCCAACAGTCACCTCCACCTCCAGCGGCACCATGGGAACTCTTCCACCAGTCTTGTTTCAGAGACCCATATAAATCTCAAAAGAGACCAGAAGCCACAGTTAATCTTGGACTGTGCAAAGCTGTACAAATGGGATACACTGGATGTGGGTGGATTTGTCAGTGCCCACCTAAATGGAGCCCCTGGCAGCTGCGTGCTCCCACAATTCAAAATTGCCACCATATCCCCAGTCTGACTCTACCACTCTGGGATGGCCCTCATCAAGATATTAGGTAAAGGTAAAGGCCCTCCCGTTGATCATCGATTTGCTCGAGCAGGCCCAGTAACGTCTCCATGGGAGACTTTGTTGTTACTGTGTCTGGCATACCAAATACGTCACGGGGAGCTTGCCAGGCTCTGCCGTGTGGGCGAGATACTCTCGGTAGCTTGCCGGGCTCTCCGAGAGGGGCGGAGGAATCGAACTCGGGTCGGCCATGTTGGCTGCATGCAAGGCAAATGCCCTACCGCTGTGCTATCGATATGTGGGTTTTGTGACTGAAATCTCCAGGCTTTTTCAGGGTCAATATAGGCTACCTCCCCCCACCTCCCTGCACCTTTGGAAGCCTTGGCAGTCCACAACCAAATGCTGCCACCGCGTTGCAAACCATAATGCACAAAAGGAGGGGTGGAGGGAGAGAGAGAGAGACAGAGAGACAGAGAGAGACAGAGACAGAAATACATAGAGAGAGACAGAGAGAGAGAGAGAGGAAAGATGCCTTCCACAGAAGCAGATGGGAGGCGGGAATAGGGGGTGGGGGTAGGGTGAGGTGGGAGAGAAACTGGGGACATTGGTGGTGGAAAATGTGCACTGGTGGAGGAATGGGTGTTGAAAGCTTGTATGATGGAAACCCAATCATGAATAGCTTTGTGAGGGTCTATTTCATAGTGATTCAGTAGGAAATCTTCTTCAACAAGTGGTGCTGGGGAAAGTGAGCACCTACTTAAAAAAAAAAGAACTCAGATCTATTTCTAACACCAGGCACCAAAGTCAGATCAAAATGGATTAAAGACCTCAATATCAAACTTGAATCCATAATGAACGTGGAGGAAAATGTGGGCATTGAAAATGTGGGCAATGCCTCCATGGCATTGAAGCTAAAAACATCTTCAAAGAGGAAACACCACTGAGCAAGCGAGTAGAAGCAAAGATAAACAAATGGAACTACATTAAACTAAGAAGTTTCTGCACCTCAATAGAAACAGTGACCAAGATACAAAGTCAACGCACAGATTGGGAAAAGTTATCTACCCTATAACCATCTGATAAGGGGTTAAGGGCTAGAGCGATAGCACAGCGGTAGGGCATTTGCCTTGCACGCAGTCAACATGGCCGACCCGACTTCAATTCCTCCACCCCTCTCGGAGAGCCCGGCAAGCTACCGAGAGTATCTCGCCCGCACGGCAGAGCCTGGCAAGCTCCTCGTGACGTATTCAGTATGCCAGACACAGTAACAACAAAGTCTCCAATGGAGACGTTACTGGGCCCACTCGAGCAAATCGATGATCAATGGGAGGGCCTTTACTTTACTTTTATATAAGTTACTGATGGGACTTTACAAGAAGAAAATCCAAACCCCATCAGAAAACGGAGAGAAAATGAACAGAAATTTCCTCAAAGAAGAAATACAAATGGCCAAAAGACACATTAAAATAATACTCTACATCACTAATTATCAGGGAGATGCAAACCAAAACAACAATGAGATATTATCTCACACCACAAGACTGGCACCCATTTTAAAAAGTACAAGAACAACCAGTTCTGGCATGGATGTGGGGAAAAAGAGACTATCCTTCATTGTTGTTGGAAATGCACACTGGTCCAGCCTTTTTGGAAAAGAATAAGGGCTTTCCTCTAAAGCTAGAAATTAAGCTTCAGGTGACCCAGCAATACCACTTATGGGAATAAAACCTAGGGGCCCAAAAACACACAGCAGAAATGCCACCTGCACTTCCATGTTTATTGCAGCACTACTCACAATAGCCAGAATCTGGAAACAGCCTACATGCCAGAGGACAGAGGAAAATGGAATACTATGCAGTCATTAGCAAAAAATGATGTCAAGAAATTTGCTTATAAATGAATGGACATGGAGAGTATCATGCTGAGTGAAGTGAGTAAGAAGGAGAGGGACAGGTATAGAATGATTGCACTCATTTATGGGATATAAAATAAAACAAAATATGAGACTAATAACCAAGGACAGTAGAAATAAGGGCCAAGAGGATTGACACATAGTTGGAAACTTGCTTCAACTGCTGGGGGAGAAGGGACAAGTGCATTTAGGATAGAGAAAGGACCACTATGACAAAAATGTTTGGAAATGATCACTCTGGATAAGAACTGTGTGCTGAAAGAGGTAATGAAACAGACAGGCTGGGCGGGGTGGGGTGGGGTGGTGAATGGGAAACTGGGAACATTGATTGGTGGTCAGAAATGTACACTGGTGGAATGGGTGTTAGAACATTGTATGACTGAAACCTGATAATAAACAACTTTGTCACTGTGTATCTCAAGATGATTCAATAAGAAAATAAAAGATAATTGTAATAAATTATCCGTGAGGTTATGAGGGACTTATTTTACCACTTGCAGTTATTTATTCTTTCAAAAAGTATTTAAGGAGATCCATAATTTTTAAGCGTTGTTCTAGATGCTATTGACACATTAGGAAAAAATTATTTTTGTATTCAAATATTTTGTTGGATAATAAGGTAAAGGCCCTCCCGTTGATCGTCGATTTTCTCGAGCGGGCCCAGTAACGTCTCCATTGGAGACTTTGTTGTTACTGTGTTTGGCATATCGAATACTCTCAATAGCTTGCCGGGCTGACAAAATTGACAGGTAAGGGTGGATAGCTATAATTATGACAGTACAATATGATTATGACAATATAAGTATCGAGAATACAAGGGGAGCAGGTAATTTCTTCCATATTGAATTTATATTTGAGATGTGTTAGTGATCAAAAACTCTTGTTGGCTCAGTTAACATACTCCCACCGCTAATTAGAAAGATGCCTCACCTGAATTTTCTTCTGCCTGTTGTATGTTCCAAATCTGTGAATAAACAACGTCTGTATCTTTGGAATTAACTGTAAGAGAATGGGTAATCTTTTATATAGAAAATGGCTGTATTCCAGAGCCCACATTCTAAACTCATTTCTAGTCCCTAAGTGCCAAGAACCCCATTTTAAAACTTAATGTTACTGGACCATTGACGGTTGCTCAGTATCTCACCCCTCTCACTCTCACTCCTCTAGATCAGCTCTAGAGCCCTTTTCCCCATTAAAACTCACCATTTCTATATACTGGCTGCAAATCCATTAAAGGTTGTGACCTAAAGTTGATGATTTCTCGGGATTCTGTTCTGGAGTATCTAGAGACAGGTGACTCATTGGAACTACAAAGGTAATGGGGAGCAGGTACAGTGGGAAGAGATAAGAGAGAAAAATATTTGAAGATCAAAAAGAATCTCAGGACTGGAGCAACAGTACAGTGGGTAGGGCGTTTGCCTTGCACGTGGCAAACACAGGTTTGATTTCCAGCATCCCATATGGGCCCCTGAGCACCGCCAGGAATGATTCCTGAGGCAAAGCCAGGAGTAATCCCTGAGCATCACTGGGTGTGACCCAAAAAGAAAAAAAAGACCCTCAGAGAAGTCAATATCCAGGAAGATACTAGCAGACATCATGTAAAAATGCCATGGCTACTTGCTTGAAAGTTCTCCATGCTCTTTCAAGAAAATGTCAGCTTTGTTGTGGAATATATTGTAGTCCTGGATGGCATTACAGAGAAGGAAAATAAAGGCAAGGTTAGAGAGCAAAGCTACATGATCCCAAGATAGTTCTGTTTCTTTTTGTTTTTGTGCCAAACTCGGCAGTGTTCAGGGCTTACCTCCTGGCAAACTCAGGGTACCATACAGAATACCAAGGATCAAACCTGTTTTGGTCACATGCAAAGCAAAGACCCTACCTGCTGTACTATTGCTCCAACCCACGTCTTAAAACACTCTTTAAAAGAGAAAATACTTGTCTTTACAGTTAAAAAATAAATTTTAAAAAAGTCAATGCTTAAATTTATGCACAGAAATTTCACTATTCACACAAAACTTAATAGTTAGGGATCTGAGGGAAGACTTAATGGCAAAAAATGCCTTCCTTTCGAGTTTGATGTCATGTGTTTGATCCCTGAAGCTACCCAACAACACTGAAAACATTTTATCCAAAGCACAACAACCAAAGTTAAAAATATACTTATCAAGGTGGGGTGGAAAGGAACCTGGGAAACTGTTTAAGGGAAACTGACACCATTTCAAATGGTGGTGTTAGTACTAGATTATTGTTTGTCTAAAAATTAATTATCAAAATATTTTTAAATCATGGTTCTCTAATAAACTTTTAAAAGTGAGTAAATCAAATATACCTTTAGCTAGACTAAAAAATAAAGTGAGAAAATTCTAATAAAATCAGAAATAAAAGTAGTGAAGTTACAATAGATTCTACAAAAATGCAAAAGAACATGAGAGAGTGTTATGGATAACATAAAAAAATAGAAAACTTGCTGAAAGAAGATATTTGAAAAATATAAATAACTGATAAAACCTAACAACAAAGAATAAACGGCTTTAAAAATGCATGATAGTTGGGGCTGAAGCGATAGCACAGTGGTTAGGGAGTTTGCCTTGCACATGGCAAACCCGGGTTTGATTCCCAGCATCCCATATGGTCTCCGGAGCATGCCCAGAAGTAATTCCTGAGTGCAGAGCAGGAGTAACCCCTGTGCGTCACTGGGTGTGGCCCGCCCCCTAAAAACAAAAACAAAATAAATAATGCATGGAGGATCTGAATATATACTCCAAAGAAGACATGCAGATGACATCTAGGGACACTAAGCTCTTCATCATCTTTTTTATGGAAACATAAATCAGACATTAATAAGCTATTACCTCACGCCTGTGAAAATAAAAGGAAGAAAAAGTGTTGGTGATGAAGGGGAGAAAATATATCCCTAATAAAGGGCCCAAGAAATATTATAGAAGGCAAGATGCTAGCCTTGCAAGTGACTGACCCGGGTTCAATCCTGGGCATCACATAGGTCTTCTGACCATCACTACTAGTAATCCTTAAGCACATAGCCTAGAATATGACCTGAGCAAAGCTGGGTGTGGCCCCCAAACAATAACAATAACAATAACAACAACAATAACAATGACAACAACTAAATATCCTTTTATATTTCGGTAGGAATGTAAATTGGTGGGTTCATTTTTTTAAAATAGCGTGGAGATAGTTTTTTAAAAAGAAAGCACTGTGCACTGTAGCACTGTCCTCCCGTTGTTCATCGATTTGCTCGAGCAGGCCCAGTAACGTCTCCATTTTGAGGCTTGTTACTGTGTTTGGCATATTGAATATGTCACGGGTAGCTTGCCAGGCTTTGCCATGCAGACGAGATACTCTCGGTGGTTTGCCAGGCTCTCGGAGAGGGGTGGAGGAATCAAACCCGGCTAAGCCAGGCCTGCCACGTGCAAGGCAAATGCCCTACCACTGTGCTATTGTTCCAGACCCAAATAGAAAAATTATACAAAATATAGCTATCCCGCTTCTGGGAATTTTAGCATTAAATTCATAGTTTAATGAATTTAAATTAATTCATTAATTTGAATATATATACATATATACATACACCTATATGTTCATCATAGATTATTTGAAATTATGAGACTTGGAAGCAAACAATACCTATTGATAGATGAGTGGATAAAGAAGGTGTGGTATATTAATTAATGGACCACTAATAAATTGGAGAAAAGAGATGAAAAGAAAACAAATTTTAAAAAAAGAAAAGATGGGGATATGATGTTGCCAGCAGGTCAACCTGTACCTGTGGGGCGAGTGCATCAGCAATCTGATGGTGCCTTCAGTTTTCCTGATACCCCAAAATTGCCACTGTACCTTTGGCTGGATCCCAACAACTTGGGGTCAAGTTTCCCAAAACATTAAACGGTCAAAAGTTAGGTATGTGGGAGCCACACCCACAAATCACCTACAGCTCAGCTATACAAGCTCATTTATTGGCCTTATTTCAGAGACCCTTAAATCTCGAAAGAGATCAAAAGCCGCAGTGAGGGCCGGCAGTGTGGTGCGCTATGGGCGAGCATATGTGCCCTGCAAGGCATATGTCAATAGTTTATTTATCTGGAAAAGATGGAAACAAGGGCCATAATCCAGAGACACACAAAAGAATCTTTGAACCGAGCATCTCTCTGCAGAGATGCCTCCAGACTTTAAGCCGGGACAACTTCACTGGGGTGCCTCAGACGGGATAGGCATCATCCCTCCACCTGCCCTCTAAAATTCCCCACAGCTGCCAACTTCCAGAACCCAATGAGAAGTGTAGGTACTTGGGTTCAGTGATAGCAAACTCCAGGCCTCAAGGGAAAGGGGATGGCCAATCTTGAGCTCCTTAACACGCATGATCCAGAGACACACAAAAGAATCTCCAAACCGAGCAGCTGTCTCCAGAGATTTCTCCAGATCCTAATTACCTAAAATTTTAGAGTTCCAGGAGTGCCACGTGACATCATATGCTATTCATAACAAGCAATACAAAAGAGAGTATGGGGGAAATTGTTTGCCATAGAGGCAGGGGAAGGGGTGAGATGGGGAGATACTGGGGACATTGGCGGTGGAAGATCGCACTGGTGGAGGGTTGGGTGTTTGATCACTGTATAACTGAAAATCAAATAGGAAAGTTTTGTAACTGTATCTCATGATGATTCAATATAATAAAATTAACATTCTGAATTTAAAAAATAAAAGCAATGTGGAGTTCATACCCAATTCAATCAGCTTAATCAATGGCTGAATAAATAGCAGTACTCCTATTTAAATAAAAAGAAGAAAAGGAAAGAAATCCTGAGGCTGTAGAGATAACACAGAGGAGAAAGTGCTTGCCCTGAACACAGTCAATCCAGGTTTGAGTCTCATTACCATATATGGTCCCCTGAGCAGCACCAGGAGGGATCCCTGAACATAGAGCTACAAGTAAGAACTGTTGAGCTTGCCCCACAAACATGCAAAAAAAAAAAATTGAAATCCTTCCATTTATAGCAACATAGATGGATGTAGAGGGTAATACATAGGGCAGAGAAACAAATAACCATATAATCTTGCTCACTCAGAAGAAAAAGAAGCAAAATGAATGAACAAACAGAACAATAACAAAAGAGACTTTTAGGTCACAAAAACAAAAGAATTCAAAACCAGTCTTGAAGAGGTAAGTGGGACTGGGACAAATCAGGTAAATAAAATGATTGTATGGTAAAGAATGGAAACTAGATTTTTGATTTGTGCTTGTTTAAAATAGTATTTCCAAACGTTGACTTACAATACTGTGCACCTAAAGCCTCTATGACATAAAATATTGTTATCTCAGTTGGAAAAAAATCGTAATACTATAAGAGCACTTTAGGAAAAGGGTGAGTTTTTGTTTTTAACCAAATTCATTTTCTTCTTTAGTTAACATCAAGAATTGAACATTTCTGACATCCAATAATTATTTTTCAATGAATGTATGAGTAGAGGAATAAGAAATAAAGCTCTATGAACAATAATGTCATTACAATGAACAGTTAATTTTCTACAAGAGCACGTTGAAAGAAGTAGATTTATACAGATAACATAAGTCCTGTGTTAAAGTATGTACAAATTAATAGTATTCACAACTATGACTAAAGTGACCTTAATCACATTTCTGGATTTTATAAATGTGAAAAAACTAATAAGAAATCCAAAATGTTAAATGCGTATAAAATTTCACATTCCTATCTTGTGGTATATAAATAAATCACAAAAATGTTAGTTGCACAGAAAGCAGAGATACTACCTAGAAGTTCCAGGGGCAGTTGGTTCTCCTGAAAAATAAAAAAGGTGAGTTAGATGTATAATGTGAACCATTTAGAACACCCATTCCTAGGAATCAGATTCATTCTACACCTCTGCTATGACAAATCTTAATGAATATCCAGTTCTGCCACATCATGTTAAAGTAATGAAGGTAAAGTCTCATAAGACTTTTATCCAGAATCACACCTAACTTCAAATCACCATCATTTGATCAGTAATATCAAAGTGAACTCTAAGTAGCTGTGAGCCAATAGTTGGAGAGAAAATTTTAATGTTTAATCCTCGGTAAAGTATTTGCTCCAGTTCTACTTCACTATCCAAACTGAAGCTTTGAAAGGTAAAGACAGAATTATCTCACAATGACTTAATCTTATGGTAGTATGCTTAGAACTCTATTTAGCTGTCAGCCTTAAAAAATCTATCCCAACAAAATTTGATATTTACTTTTTTACATTCTGTTTTCTTCTCTTTTATATGACTAATTGAAATTTAGCATTTCTTTTTCCAATATATGTACATATTGTATTATAATTATCTCTTTTTATATTTGCTTCTAATTCTTTCTATGGAAAGTTGTGTTACTGAGGCTGCAATCCTATCTTAGACATTTTGTATCTTAGTGTTCTGATGTTAAAAAAAAATACTCAGCAATGATTTGTTAAATCACTCTCACTGTCATTGTCACTCTCACTGTCACTATTCATCAATTTGTTTGAGCAGGCCCAGTAACATTGTGAAACTTGTGATTTGTTAAAGGTAAAGGTAAAAGGTAAAGGCCCTCCCGTTGATCGTTGATTTGCTCGAGCGGGCCCAGTAACGTCTCCATTGGAGACTTTGTTGTTACTGTGTCTGGCGTATCGAATACTCTTGGTAGCTTGCCGGGCTCTCCGAGAGGGGCAGAGGAATCGAACTCGGGCCGGCCATGTTGGCCGCTTGTAAGGCGAACACCCTACCCGCTGTGCTATCGATACCAGAAAAATTTAACAAAAATTATTTGTTAACTACTAGAGAAATTAAATTATGTACTTTGAGGACAGAAAGAATAACAAGTGACAAAACTTGAAATCCCTGAAGGTCTATAAGATTGTAAAACAATTTTAAAAAACCACTGTGAAGTAACAACTTTATTAGGAATGTTGGAAGGAGTGAAGAGATTGGGACACACTTGGTGATGGTTAGGGTCTATTCTTGGCTCTGTACTCAAAAGTGACCTCAAATGGTGCTCAGAAGACCATATGTGGTACCAGGCATTCAATTCAAGGTTAGCATTCCCACAGCCACATGGAAGGTTTTGCCTCTTGTACTATCTCTCCACCTCTATTTTGTTTTATAAGCAATATTTCCTACACTGTAGTTGTGAGAAGAGCTGAGGCCCTTATTTGAAAGAAGATAATTGTCCTATAAAGAATATTTCACACAAGTCCAAATTATTATAGCAACATTAAAAGTGACAATATTAATGATTAAGATGTAGACACTCACCTGATCTCCTTTTGATTCTGAAACTACCCACCAGAATAGCCAGAGCAGCCAGACCAAGTGCACTTAGCAATCCCCCGGTGACTGTTCTGCTACTATGGGCTGCTTTGCTTCCGGGAGTCCCTAAGCAAAGAGAACTATACTTGAGTACCCGTGGCAAACTTTTATTTATTTATTTATTTATTTATATCTAAGCAAAACAGATGAGAGGATGGAGCGCTATCAGGGCAGATCTTTGTCAGGATCTGATTTCTCCATTTGCATTATCTCCAAATTAATTTGAAATCTTTTAAATAATGGCACAAAGTGATGATTTAAAGCATATGAGATTTAGATTAATTCCTTTTCCCTCCCCAGGAAATCAGAACCATTTTCCAGAAAATCAAAGCATTGGTGTCATGTTCAAAAACCTTTTTTACTCTTTTAAGGTTTGTACAGTTGTAAGTGATCAAGCAGGAGGATCAAGCAATCCATCCTGTTCCCCACAAATGCATTTCTTATAATCTCTCACTCTCCCTTGACTCTTATTAAATCATTCCGTTGTTTTTAGGGTTATTTTTATTATTTTTTTGCTTTTTGGGTCACACCTGGCTATGCACAGGAGTTACTCCTGGCTTTATACTAGGAATTACTCCGGGAAGTGCTTGGGGGACCATATGGGATGCTGAGAATTGAACCCGGGTCGGTCACGTGCAAGGCAAGCACCCTACCCGCTGTACTATCGCTCCAGCCCCCTCTCATTCAGTTTTAAAAGATATTCTGGAATATTGTGTGTTTGAAGTTGATACAGAGTCCAGTTATAGATGAGGTTGAGGAAAGCAAACAACAGGCTCCTTGAGTACCCACTTCTCAGCCTCAAAGAAAAACCCGCACCAGGCCCTGTAAGAAGATTCCTGAAGCTTTTCAGATGCCTTCTTCTGCAGTATTTACTTCCCATAATTTTCTAATAACTTATTTTTTTTATGTAGGAGTACTGCTTTTACTGCTTTTTTTTATGTAGGAGCCACTGATTAGTTGATTGAATTGGGCAAGAACTCCACCTTACATTTTTTTCATTTTTTATAATTTTATTTATTGAATCACCATGAGAGCAGTTACAAAGCTTTTGGGTTTAAGTCTCAATCATACAATGAAACACCCGGACCTTCACCAGTGCCCATTCTCCACCACCAAAAACCCCAGTATACCTCCATCCCACACCCTCCCCCTATCTGTGGGGCAGATGATTTCCACATTACTCTCTCTCTCTACTTTGATTACATTCAATATTTTGACACCAGATGCACCATTATTATTTGGTATTTTAGCCTAACACTCAGATCTGCCAAAAAGCAACAGTAGACAATTTGTGTTCTAATGCTAGTTATGAATAACATATGATGTTGCGTGGCTGCAGTAGTGGCCGTGGGATTTTGAAATTCTGAAATTTTAACAATTAAATCTGGAGGGATTTATTGCCAAAACCTGCTGGGTTCCGAGATTTGTCCTGAGTCTCTGGGATCATGGCCTTTAAGCAGCTTGATCAGGAGCCAGAGAAGCCGTTTGTGGGTGGCGACTCAGTGTCTCCTTGGGACAGGGAGGAAAGGGTGACCTCCACCCCCATCCTGTGAGGCCCCTTGTATCTTGTCACTTCGGGCCCAAACCTGACTGTCCAGTGGCCCCTGGAGGATAGCAGCCACCGGGCCACCAGGGGGAACAGGAGAAGGCACAAAAACTGTTCCCACCAGGGATGGGCCAGCACCGGTAACCTACTGCAGGGTCTGGACACATTTCTGCCCAAAGTCGCTGGGTTTGTTTCTGAGTCTCTGGGATCATGGCCATTAAGCAGCTTGATCATGAGCCAGAGAGGCGATTTGTGGGTGGCAACTCGGGGTCTCATGGGACGGGGAGGAAAGGGTCGGCTCCAACCCCATCCCGTGAGACCCCATGTGTCTCATCACTGCGGGACACATTTCTGCCAAAAGCCATTGGGTTTCGAGATTTGTTTCTGAGTCTCTGGGATCATGGCCATTAAGCAGTTCGATAAGGAACCAGAGAGGTCACGCCTCCAATGATATAGCTGAGTTGAGGTGGTTTGTGGGTGTTTCTCCCACATACCTAACTTTTGGCTGTTTACTCTCATGGTAAACTTTGCCCCAAGTGTTTGGGCTCTGGACAAAGCAGCAATTTTGGGGTATCTGGAAGTCTGAAGGCGCCATCAGGCTGCTGATGCACTCACTTCTCAGGTACAGATTGACCTGCTGGCGGCACCATCCCCCCACAATAACTTATTTTTCAAACCAGCTCTATACAAACCACTAACACCAATCTAAAAAGTAAAATTGCTTGGGGGAACAAGCTATCTTATCCATCGTCTTTGTTTGATAGCACCCGATTAAGCCTGCTTTCCTCCCATTAACTCATCTTTTAAATATTGGCCTTCAGGTGGTGAGCAACTGACTTGGGTTTGGTATCCCAATCAGTAGAAGAATTGTACTGACCATAATAGAACCTAAACTCCCAAACTCCAACCCACCTGTGATGTTGAGTGTCAACACCAAACTGCTCTGGGTTTCCAGTCCATTGTCTGCTTCACAGGAGAAGTTTGCCGAATGTTCAAAGGTCAGGGTAAGGTTGAAGGATGCTCCTCCACCAGAGAGGGCTGAGCTGTTTCCCAGGTTGACATCCCCCTGGTAAAACTGGTATAAGATTGGAGGAGAGCCTCTCTGGGCCTCACAGTGAAGCTCCACAACATCTCCCACCATAGCCTGGGCTTGGGGGCCCCGGAGAGTGAGCATAGGGCGAGACACTGGAACTGGGGATGAAAGTAGGTAGCATTAATACAAATATATATGATAGTTTCATAAAGGAAGTATCTGCCATAATGTGGTAGAAAGATGCTGAACATGGGATACAAAAAAATCTGAATCTTATCTCTGTGATCTTGATATTTTACAATATTTTAATCTCTGAGTATATTCATTTGTAAAATTGATCTAATGGCAATATTTCTCAAACTTTTAAAAATATGTGTACATGAAATATGTAAAAATTTATACTCAATATTCATATTTTGATATAAATATCTAAAAATGACATTAAAGTTAATTTCTTAACATTTTTCACTCCTGGAATATTATCTTTAATGATTTATGCATATTTAAAACAAGGTTTTGTTGACTCTGTCCGATTACTTTTCTTCACTTTTCTACATAGCATTTAGCAAAAATCACACTCCCTCACTTCTTTCTTGGCTATTTATTATTGCACACTTACATTCCCTTATGCAATGTAACTTTCATGCTTTTCATGGACAAGGTCTGTGTTTCATCCCTGACATCACATGATCCCTTGAAACACTGCCAGCAGCGACTCCAGGACACAGAGCCAGGAGGAGCCTGTAAGCACCACCAGGTGTGCTCCCCCCTCAAAAAAAAGCACTTGGAATGGAGTATCTTCTACTGTACACAGAATTAAATTGACTAAAATTAACTACAATTGATTTTCTAAGCATTTCCCTGGGCATTGCAAGCTTTCATTAAACTTTAGCATCTCCAATAATGCATCATACATATTAGGAAGTAATAATATTATCTATGTGGCAAAACAGATTCCTGGTGCTTCCTACTCTGCTGTTTTTCCAGAATCATACTGGACTCCTATACTTTTGTCTGTTATATGTTGAAATCCATGATCATCAATTCTTTCTGTGCATTTATCCCTCCACGGTTCACCAAACTTCTGATTCATAGCAGAAAGACTTTCCAAAATGCCAGATAGACAATGCTTCATCAATTTCTGGCACAGGAGTATCAAATTGAAGGCTTTATTTATCAATTCCTTTGTTCATAACAAAATATGGAACCCTCATTATCAAGGTATTCTCTTTATGCCCCAATTTTATCTAAAGTCCCATGTGGGGAACTTGAACAGTGTTAAGGCACTAACCTTGCATGCAGTCAACCATATGGTATCTAAACATGTTCAGGAGTGACCTCAGCCCAGAACAAGATATGAGCCCTGAACACTGCCAGGTGTGGCCCCAAACCCTCCCATTCACCAAAAGAAAAGTTTATATGCACCATAACACTCCTTTAATATCAATCCTGAGAACAAAAGGCTGGAGTCATTATATTCTCTGACTTTATACTATAAAGCTTATAGTAATCAAAACCATGTGGTGTTTGAGTGAAAACACTCAGATTAATGAAATAGTGTTGAGAATACAGAATTAAATTCATATATTAAACTCATATATAGTTAATTTGTGACAAAGTAGCCAAAAAACATTCAGTGGGAGAAGGAAAACTTTTTCAACAAATAGCTTTGTCAAAACTCATTTGTAAAGGGACAGAAAAAAATAGGGACAGAAAAAAATAGGAGGGGGGAGTGAAAGTGAAAGGAGAGAAAGAGAGAGAGGAAAAGAAAGACAGATAGACAGACTTTATTGTCGTACTCTAATTCATAAAATGCAATGAGGAAAACCCATGATACTGACTTCAGAAGTGTCTTCAATGATTTGACTCCTTTGATAAATCAAAAGCAAAAATAAATAAATGGAACTATATCAAACTACAAATATTCCTCAACAAAAATAAAACTATGACTAAAATTAAGTCACCCTAATGAATGAGAGAAAATATTCTCACACCATACATATGACATAAGGTTATTACTAAGTAGTGGTTATGGTGCTATAGCATTTTGTACATGAATTATAACTATTAACATTATTGTAAATCATGTTACCTCAATAAGAATAAAAGGTGTGGGGGAAAAAGGGAAGATATAGTGTTCTCAACTAACTGTTGTGAATTACAGTTCTATTTACCTTTGATGTTGAGACTTATTCTGTCACTAGTCTGAGATCCCAGGCCATTATCAGCCTCACAGTAGTAGTTTCCAGAATGTTCTTCAGTAAGAGAAACTTTGAAGTACACTCCACCTCCAGAGAGGGCTGTACGGCTCCACAGGGTGACAGTCTCATGATAGAACTGGTACTGAATTGTGGGGAACCTCTCTGGGCCTTACAGTGAAGCTCCACCAAGTCTCCCACCACATATTGGGCAGTGTAAGCTCCCAAAGTGAGGACAGGGCAAGACACTGGAGCTGAGAGAGATAATAGGGTTATCAGAGAAAAACTCTGCTAGTGGGACAAATTCACACCCTCATCCAGGAAGCCTAACATTAGATACACCTCTTGAACCATGAGGAGTAATCCTGAGAACCAGGAGGAATAATTTTTTTCATCACTGATCCCATCTCTCCATGAGAAATAAGTTATTCAATTTACTTTGCAATCTTTGCTATTTCTTGGTTATCTGCCAGAGAATCTGCTCCTTGGCTTGGACCTAAGACTGGGAAAAAGAAGGTAGGACTTACTTTTTAATGTGACTGTAACCCGCTGACTGAGGATGGGACCATCAGAGTTGTCTGCTGTGCAGTAGTATCTCCCAGCATCGCTCTCTTTTACAGAGGGTATCTTCAGTTCTGCTGACAAGGAATTTTGTGTCTTTCTTCCCAAATTTGTGCCCTCTCTGTGCCAGGAGAATGTGATAGTTCCTGTGCCTTGGGCCACTGAGCAGATAAGGAACAGATTTTCTCCTTCAATCCTCTGTCCCTCAGGAGGTTGTATCTCCAGTTTCACTGCAGATATAGGAACTCCTGGGAGAACACAAAATGACACATTACATTCCTGATGCCAGCATCTTCAGGGTCAAGGATAAGGTTAGTGCTACCACAAATAAGCCAACAGCAGCCAAGGTCCAAAAGTGGTAGTAAGGAACACTTCCTGCACACACAATGATTTCATACTTGGAGAATGTGGGCACTGGGCCTTTTATGTTAAATTTACTATAAATGAAAATCACATTTTATAGATATTTTTCTCTAAAGAATCTTTGACGCATTAATGAACCCAAATAAGAGCAAACATTGATAACGTTATGTTTATTTTGAAATGAGTTTCCTCAAATTTAAACCTATTCTTCAATACTCTCCTCTATTGTCACATCTCTCCACATTCTTCTCTAACTTCCAGTTTGTGTTTAGTCACCCTCTTTTGGTCACCATCAGTTAACATACCCAGTTAACATATCCTAAACATATCCAGTTTGTGGATATGTTTAGGTCAACAAACAGAAACACTCTGGAGACTCTAAAGAGTCTGGTGGTCATTTGTGTTTCTAGTGCTTCTAGCTCTCTAACTGTTCACGATATTGTTTCCATAGCTTCCGCATGGTTGGGAACCCAGTGACTGATCTAAAACTACAATTGTTGACTTAGGTGGAGTAGAATGTTTTAGGAAAATTTGGACCATGCTGAATCTAAAAAAAAAAGTAAAAACAAATGAGGATTCCAGAAGTGTTGTACTAGGGAGAAGAGAGCATTTTTGTATTGCTTTATTCATTGTACTAGGGTGCAGAAGAGACCATTGTTTTATTCCCTTGTCCCAACTCTGACTCTGGAAGAGTCAAGTGCGTACACATCCACCAACACACACACACACACACACACACACACACACACACACACACACTTACTCTGAACATGTATCTGGTGTCTCAAGCTTCTTTTCATGACTCTGTGATTAGTTGTCTGAGCCTGACACCAATAAGATCCAGAGTCTTCACTCCACAAGACAGGGATGTAGAGCTCTGGGAAGCTGCTCCAGCCTGACCCAAGGATTTGGTTTTCTCGAAAGAAACAGAATTGAAGCGAAGTACTGAACTTTCGTGGAGGGAGCCAGGTTTCACACTTGAGAGTCACTGGATTCCCTTCTATTGGCTTTAAAGGACTGACTGTCAGCACAGGTTGTGGAAACAACTCTAGAAAGAATAAATCAATTTTCAGGGATATTGGGTTCAGAGTTTCCAAAGAGATGCACCTGTATTTTTATCACAAGAAAGCAGGAAATAGATATCCAAGCAGACATATCCTCCTCTGTATCATGATTGATGAGTTTTTCATGAAATTCCTTTTGTAAACACCCTCCTCAATCCCAAACACTGTTTTCTACTAAGTCCAGCCATCTACAAGAGCATGGCCCTTACCTTGAATTTGGATCATTAGAGGTTTTGAAGCTTCTGCCCATTTAATATATTCTAGAATTTTATGTTTATAAGCAGTACAATGATATTGGCTATTGTCACCAGATACTGAACTTAGTATGAAATCTGAGTCGGTATCACCAATTATTTCTCCATCTTTGTAGTAAGTCCATTTATTATTACTGTTTTGGTTTTTTTTCATTCGGCATCTCAGATGTACATCTTCTCCTTCAAATATAGGATGTGAAACCTGCAAGATCAGCTCATCTGCAAAGAATGAAGGAAGCCACTCAATTTACCCTTGTCTTTTTTCCCTTCCACTTCTTATTTTCTCCCCGTAAGGAAAAAAGTACTGTACTGTGCAACATTTTCATGTAGCCCTAATACCAATTCTCCTTATCCTAGAAGAGCAAATTAATTCCCCAATTCTACAGAAATAATGCAACCCCCACAACCTTCTCTAACACCCGCCCCACTCTTCAGAGTCATAATTAAATCAAAGATGGATTTTATAGCCTGCTTTTCTTCAGACCTGAGCCACTTTGTGCGTGGTGACTTCTGGATTACTGACTTGCCCTGGATAGAGAAATAGGGACAATATGGACAATGTAGCCTTCTGTTGCTGCCTTCTTCCTTGCATTTCCCATTGGTGATCCAAACAGAACATTTTCATGACAATTTGAAACTTTGCTATACTCCCAACCTTCAGATATTCCCCCAGTAGCTTGCTTTTATTGACTTCTACTTTCTTGTCTCACCAGATAAAAATTTCACATGCACAGGGTCACTGAGAGAAGATGCCTGAGTCTTGCATTTGTAAGATCCAGACTTTTCAACTTGAATCTCTTCAGACTCTGTTTTCCAGAGCTTTTCTTCTTTGTACCAAATTACATCTCCTTCACCTGGAGAGTGTAAATCCTTGCATGTGAGTATCATCTTTTCTCCTTTGAAGACTGTAGACCATGGAGGATTCAGGAAAATAAAAGCTTTTGGAACTATTCCTGAACAGAAAATAGAAAGATGAAAGTGAATAAAGAATGGATGGAAGAAGGGATTGGCCTGATCTTCAGTGGGAATGTTCCAATACTAATTCTTATTAAAACCAGGTTGGATATGCATCAGAACATGTGGGAAAGGGCTGGGATAGAGTCTGTTCTTCCTTATCCTTTGCCTATAGTGCAGATATGAGTGTTATACAACTAAAGCTCCTGTGTAGGTCCAGGAGATTGTAGACTTTAGAAGGTCAACTGGCCATAAAATGCTTTTATCTGTTTTTATTTTCAATTAAAATTGTGCCCAGAACGCAGATAACTCAGAGAAACTTTCTATTATAGGAAAATCTGGTTAATGTTTAATAAATGATTTAAAAATTCTTTTCATTACTTTGAAACCTTGCTTGGTTTGTTATTCTATAAGGGTGGCAACTTATTTTTTCTAACTTTGTCAAAATTAAAATTAAGAAATACAAAAGACATCGCCCGCCGCCCTTCTTTGCAGGTTTGTTGGTCAGGACGTTCCTGCCCCTCTCACCCCGGCCCTCCCCCCGCCCCCACCGTGAGGCAGTTGGAGGAGACTTTGGAGAACACCTGCCCGAGTCCCGCTAGCGAGCCTTCCACCTCATCACCCCGTCCTTGTCTGCAGGTTTGTTGGTCAGCGGGACCCTGCCCTGCAGGCCTGGTGCACTCCTTCCCCAGTTGCGCCCTCACTGCTGGGCAGTCAGATAGGACCAGGGTCTAGCATATGGGAATGGTTCGGGGTGTGGACTCCACTGTAGGGGTGTGGCCTCCTCAAAAGTGGGTGTGGGGGCTGGAGCGATAGCTCAGCGGGTAGGGTGTTTGCCTTGCACACGACCAACCTGGGTCAATTCCCAGCATCCCATATGGTCCCCCTGAGCACTGCCAGGAGTAATTCCTGAGTGCAGAGCCAGGAGTAACCCCTGTGCATTGTCAGGTGTGACCCAAAAAGCAAAAAAAAAAAAAAAGTGGGTGTGGCCTTCTGTGTGGTTAGCAGCTGCTCGTATGTCTGCAGTTACTTTCTCCATTCCCAGCACTCTCAACTTATTTGCCAACCTATATCACCTAATTCTGAGCAAAACGTCCCTCTCAAACACAATGTGACAACAATCCACTGGCGTATACCAACTCCATTAAAAGGCCAGTGTATGCAAAAAGCTGTATAAGCCCTATAAAAAAAGAGCACATCCTCCAATGCCTATCATAAGTCACAGAATAATGTATGAGAGGAAGGAGGTATTCTAGAAGGGGAGAAGGGTGACCACCATCGACTGAGCTCATTCAGAACCCTTTCCCACTATAAGGGGGAACAGTACTAGTGAACTTGAAGGTTCTAACTCTATACAAACACAACAACATGAAGAAACATTGCAAATCTGCCCTATGAGGAGAGGAGGACGAAGAAAAGAGTCCCAAATCCTCAACAGGGGTTACCCACAAATACGATCTCTCCAATAAAGAATTCTGAGATGGAAAACTGAGGATATTCAAGGAACTCAAAGAATCAATAGAGCAGACATCCAGAAAATTAAAGGAAGAAATGAAAGAATCAGTGTAATGGATAGTCAAGAAATTATGGAAGAAATGAGAGCAGAAATAAAAAAGCTACAAAAAGAAGTGTTAAAAATGAAGGATTTGTTAGATGAAACTAAAAACTCAGTGGGTGTCCTCAACAGTAGAATGACTACAGCCGAAGACAGGATCAGTGAGCTTGACGATGAGCAGCAGAAATTGTATAGACAACAACAAACAACGGTAAAAGATCTCAAAATAGCTCTAAGGCAAATAAGAGACCTAGGGGATGATACCAAAAGGAACGATATTAAAAATCATTGGAGTACTAGAAGGACAGGGAGGCAAACCCAATGGAAAAAAAAAACCATGGTGAAAGAAATCATTGCTAAAAAGTTTCCGGAGTTAAATAATGCAGACATCCAGATCCAAGGACCCAAAAGGGTGCCAGCTAAAAGAGACCCTAATAAAACACTTTAAGGCAGAATGATGGATGCCGTGGATAGAGACCTTGCAAGAAGTAAGGTCTAAGAAGGAAATCACATACAAAGGAGAACCTTTTACAGTACAGTAAACCTTTTACTGTACAGATGTACAGTAGGCCTATCAGAGGAAACCCTCCAAGCCCGAAGACAATGGCCAGATATAGTGAAAAAACTCAATGAAATGAACGCCTCACCAGGGATACTTTGTCCAGCTAAATTCTCACTCAAACTTGATGAAACAATACACCATTTTATAGGTAAACAACAGCTCAGGAACTTCATAAATTCAAAACCAAACCTAAAAGAAGGATTAAAGGGATTCCTGTAAGACAAGAAGGAAAACACCTAAAAGCACAACCAATCCCTACAGAAAGATGGCTCAAAACCCCATGACAATAATCTCTTTCAATGTCATTGGTCTAAATGCACCAATCAAGAGACACCAATCAAGAGTGGCAAAATGGATCCAGAAACTGAAACCAACATTCTGCTGTCTATAAAAAACACATCTGGCTTCCCGCCCCACCAAGACCACAAGTTGCCCCCCCATCCCCCCCCCCCCCCCCATGCCACGAGCAGCTCTCTTGCATGGCCCTGGCCCCAGAGGCACACGAACCAAATTTGGAACCCAGCAGCTATTGGTAGAAAAGTGAATGGACTATGAGTTAAGCTACCACGACATGCCTCCCTGGGAGGGAAAGGGTGTCTGTCTCTTCCGCCTTCATGCCCCACACCTGCGGCACAGTGGCCACCGCCTCAGAGCTTATTTGAGAGCCAGGTATGAGCTGGCAGTGACAGGGCAACTGTGGCCTCATTGGGATGGGGTGCGGAACCGGCACATCCTTCTAGTCTCACCGAGACCACGAGTTTCCCCCCACCCCCAAGAGAGGCTCTCCAGCATGGCCATGGCCCCAGCAGCACACAAACCAATCTCAGAACTATGCAGCTTTTGGCATAAATGTGAATAGACTATGCTTTAAACTACAGTGCCGTTCCCCTTCGGGAGGGAAAGGGTTTCTGTCTCTTCTGCCTCCCTCCATCCTGGTGGCACGGTGGCCACAACCTCAGAGCTTATTGGACAGTCAGGTATGAGCCGAAGGTGATGGGGCAACTGCAGCCTCATGGGATGGAGTGTAAAACTGGCATGTCCATCTCGTTCCACCGAGACCACAAGTTGCCCCCATGAACAGCTGTCTGGCACGGCCATGGCCCCAGAGGCACATGGACATAATTTCGAACCCAAAAGCTTTTGGCAGAAATGTGAATGGACTATGCATCAAGCTACATTGCTGTGCTCCCCCTGGGAGGGAAAGGGTGTCTGTCTCTTCCGCCTCCCCCACGGTGGTGGCCGCTACCTCAGAGCTAATTGGAAAGCCAGGTATGAGCCAGCAGTGACGGAACAACTGAGGCCTCATGGGATGGGACATGGAACTGGAACTTCCTTCCCGCCCCATGAAGACACGAGCTACCAGAACCTATGGGATGCAGCTAAAGCTGTGTTAAGAGGAAAATTTATAGCTTTGCAAGCATTCCTAAGACAGGAAGAAAGGCCCTACATAGATAACCTAACCTCACAGCTCAAGATCTTAGAAAAAGGCCAACAAAAGGAACCGAAATTTGGCTGAATGAAAGAAATAATAAAACTTAGAGCAGAAATTAATGACATGGAAACCAAAAAAACAATTCGAAAGGTCAATGAAACCAAGAGCTGGTTATTTGAGAAAATAAACAAGATAGATAAACCAGTAGCAAGACTCACAAAGAAAGAGAGATTATCCTAATAAACCGAATCAGAAATGATAAAGGGGACATCACAACAGAAACCAATGAAATTCAAAAAATCATCAGAGACTACTCTTAGGGTCTGTATGCCATGAAACAAGAGAACCTAAAAGAAATGGATAAATTCCTGGATTCCTATATCTATCAAAATTGAACCAAGAAGACTTGGAATAACCTGAATAGACTTATTCATATCAAGGAAATTGAAATTGTAATCAAAAGTCTTCCTAAAAACAAAAGCCCAGGCCCAGATGGATTCACTAATGAATTCTTCCAAACATTTAAAGTAGACCTGTTGCCAGTTCTCAAGTTTTTCCAGGAAATTGAAAAAACAGGAACTCTCCCAAACAGTTTCTATGAGGCACATATCTCCCTAATACCAAAAGCAAACAAAGACACCACCAACAAAAAAAACTATAGGCCAATATCCTTGATGAACACAGATGCGAAGATCCTCAACAAAATATTAGCAAATAGAATCCAACAACTCATTAAAAAGATCATACACCATGACCAAGTGGGATTCACCCCCGGGGATACAAGGGTGGTATAACATTCAGAAATCGATCAACATAATCCATCATATCAACAAAAGTAGAGATAACAACATTATGATCATATCAATAGATGCAGAGAAAGCATTTGACAAGATCCAGCACCCATTTATGATGAAAACTCTCACCAAAATGGGTTTTGAAGGAACTTTCCTCAAGATAGTCAAAGCCATCTATGACAAACCCGTGGCAAGCATTATCCTCGTGGGGAAAATCTAAGGGCCTTTCCTCTAAGATCAAGAACAAGACAAGGATGCCCACTATCACCACTTCTGTTCAATATAGTACTGGAAGTAATTACAATAGCAATTAGGCAAGAAAAAGACATTAAAGTCATCCAGATAGGAAAGGAAGAAATCAAGCTCTCACTATTCGCAGATGATATGATACTATATCTAGATAATCCTAAATCTTCTACCAAGAAACTCCTAGAAACAACAGACTTGTACAGTAAAGTTGCAGGCTATAAAATTAATACCCAAAAATCCATGTTCTTCCTACATGCAAATAATGAGACAGAGGAAAGTGACATGAAAAAAATAATTCCATTTACAATCATGCCCCAGAAAATCAAATACTTTATATCAGCCTAACTAAAGAGGTAAAGTATCTCTACAACAAAACTTAGAAAACACTACTCCATGAAATAAAAGAG